AACTCTGAGGGGCCCACAAGAATGGATCCTCCAACCTAATGTGCCTCTTTCTCTTGCCGTAGTATATACTATGATATACTAGCATTTCCTATAATGTACTACGATATACTCAGAATACAGTATAATATACTATTGTATTCTATAACTTAATTAACTATAATATACTGTGAAATACTGTAATATACTTTAATATACTGTAATATACTATTTCATCAAGAAGCCGCAGGCAGGGCGGGGCCAAGCGACGTGTCATTCCGAGCATCTCAAACTATGGATTAGGAGGACCCCCCCACCCTGTAATAGTCGTCTTATTCCTATTAAACAGGAATATACTGGGACTCTACTATAATAGTATGCCTTACAATCATTATTACTGGATGGGGGTCCACCTCAGCTATGGACATTATTGTAGGAGGACGGCGGCCCAGCACATTCTTTCCACCCTTCATATGCGATTCATGACAGTGCACATGGTAGCGGGACACACAGCAATGCGAGCAGTCCATGTCAAATGCAGCAGAGATGGGAACTCAGAAGAGCAGTGCCACGCACTCTCAGGGGCGGAGCCAGTCATGAACGTAACCACAACCACAACAACAATTGTAAGTAAATAGCGAGCACAAAAAGAGCGGAAGAATAATCACAACAACGGGTACCACAACAATGGCCGTAAAACATAACCAATCTGCAAATCTGGGCACTTGGCCTCGAAGCAAGACAACAGAACAAAAGACTAGCTAAACAGCGCTAAGATTTGGCATGTCATGCCGAACCCTGGTTTATCAACTTGCCTTGGTTGGCTTGAAAAGCACGTTGGTGTGGCCGTAGGCGTAGAGGTCCGCGGCTGCTGCGCCAGCCACTTTGACATAGTCGCCACCCTCCAGGTAGACCTGCGTAGGGTTCAGGCTTTGTGCATGAACAAAGTCATTACTTTTGAATTTCATGAGGATCGCTGGGCATAGACGGGTTCGTTGCTTCCTGGCTTGGGGATTGCGCTTGGGTGCAGGGGTTCATCGTTGAGTGTCAGGCGTCGAGACTGTTCCCATATATAGTAATATGCTTATAATTTAATACTTTAAGGACTCTCAGGACGTCGAGGAAATACTGCCGGCCATCGTGCAAGGCTATGAAGTGGGAAGGTCGAGGGGGCGAATGTTCTTGGCACAGCGGTTACCCTCGCCTGGAAGCATGCTTGTCATTCTGGGGGAACTTTTACAGGGTGATGAGATTGTCCCTCTCGGAAGCGTGCTCTGCCCCTTGAAGATGCTTCGCAAACACTCTTGGCTCCTACTGACCCTGCAATGCGTAGAGTACTTGTGGAAACCTTGCGCGGGTCCTAATTATCTTGAGATCGTAACATTTCTCGCTGACTTTTATGCTGATGCCGCGATGTTCCTTCCACTTCTCATTTCTCACTCCGACATGCTGTCACATCTGCAAGACTCTATACCAGAAACAGCGTTGCCCATAGTCCCCGTGATAGTGCTGCCCTGAGCCTGATAAGTAGAACAAGCCATGACATCTCTAATCCCTCAAAACCTAAACCAATTTAGAATGCAAACCTGGGCTTCACAAATAAAAAGCCATGTCCGCGTGAACCCCGAGAAAAACAGAAAAAAGCCCCAGACTTGACCTTCCTTTACTTTGCAGATCTTTCCTGAACACGCCGGAACTCACGTCAGGATCATCTTCATGTCCGTCATCCCAACATTCCCTCTCCTCAAGCATCACCCCCCAATCTACGTAGCCCCGTCCGGGATGGGGAATCATCCCCAAACATCTCAAGACCTTTCAGCCCCAAGCTTTCTCACCTATGGCCGAATGATCCATGGAGTCCGCACGAGCGCAATACCAGCACAAGCAACTTGAAGACACAAATCCAAAATCCCTCCAGCACGCAAGAAACCATAGGCCCGGAAGCAGAGACATTGAGCTGTAGAGGTGTACCCTATACCTGGACCCCAAAAGTATGTAAAATAATGGCCTTAATGGCTATTATTATGGGTTTAGGGCTATTATTTTACATACTATTGGGGTTTAGGTAAGGTCTTATCAAATTAGTCAGCTAGTTGTGTAATCCCATCTCGGAGATGTTGCCTCCGGTACTTCCCCAAGCCGTATAACCCCAAACCTCATAGCCCTAAACCCTAAGCCCTGGACATTCCTCATCTTTGTAGTGATCAACTAGCTGGGAATGAAGGAAAGGAAGAGAAAATGGAAACTACTATAAAGGGTTATATTATAAGGCTTATAAGGACTACCATAAGGATCCATTCCTTCATTCCGAGCTAACCAAAGGCCAGCAAACGCTACAGAAATCCAACCTTGGAGATGTTCTTGATGGCGTCCGACCATGCCCTCTGTGCAGCACGCACTTCGGCCTCGGACACCTTCCGATGCTAATGGGACCAAAAAGTTGTAAGGATTTAGAAGGATTCCCCAATTACGCCTTCTGCGAGACACGCGCTCCAGCCGTAGCCGTAGACGGTCGAGGGCTTATGAAGGGATGTAGTTAGTGAAGCCGCATCAGGATTGCGCCACATGCATGCAGATACAGTAGAGAGCAACTTTGTAGTGTATTTCTGACGGCACCGCCAACAAAATGATTCAAACAAGTCAATAGTTTAAGTTATTCAGTTGGACGGCTTTTCAAAACCAAGTAAGCCAGCTCTCGATTAAATCCATGAATTGCATTGTGTGATGTAGTTCCGTCAAGACCCAATTGACTCAATCAATCTTGAATGATCTGTTTCGAGCATTTCCACCCTACTCTAAATTTGCAAAACAACTTAGTGCTCTAAGTGGCTTAGCCGAGTTTTTGAAGGCCCGCGACAATTGAATCGACTTACGAACTTATTTGGTTGACACTTCATGTTAAACATAAATACTATGGAACTAGCTTGTCGTACTGATGGGTGATATCTTTCAGAAAATGAACGAGGGGTGCTTCTGGTGGTCCCTGCCAACCCAAATTATCTAAGTGCATGGTTAACGAACACATGGTTTAGGGCCCCGTCACCGTCCAAGATTCTTCATGCATCAGAAAGAAGAAGACTGACAGAAAGACTGCTTCTGGATGTGATCCTTCAAATGCTTTGCCGCTGCAGCCTAACAAAAAACTTCACCCGTAGCTTCGGAATTGGTGTAACAGGAAGCTGTTGTTTTCTGTTAGATAAGAGTCCCAATGTCGTCAACTTTTCCCTGCTGCACCGCTTCGCAGCACCAATTTGTCACAGATATCCGTGAGATCCTTGCATTTTGACATATCTCATCATTATTAAGCATAAAAACATGCTCCTGGACTAAACCGTGATCTCACCCTCTTGTGCTTCTACTGTAAACGTGTACGAAGATCACAAGGCGTGATTGACTCGAGGACCCACATTGGCGCCCACTTTCAGGCTCACCCCCCGTGCTTTATTTGGAGGCTTGCCTTCTACGTTGGAGAAGAATAAGCGTCACATTAAAGGCGATATAGCTCCCCCCAAAACCCTCCGCAGCGCCTGCTGCACGTTCTGGCTGCTCTGCTCGTACTGCCCCGGCTGGGCCTGAGGCACCTGCTGTGCGCGTTGGACCCAAGGATTTGGGAGCGTAGGGGGATTATTGGCAGGTGCTTTCCAGACTTGGGGGACAAATGCCTTGAACGCCAGGAGCTGAAAACCCCAAAGACGTCAAACTCTACATCCGGAGACATGAACCAGCGGACCCAACAAGATAAC